CATTTATTTAATAAAATAACGATTTAATTAATTTATTTATTTATTTGTAAATAATTAAAATAACAAATTCTACAGTAATGACGACTTTTTAAGTGTTGTTTTTTTTGGTGCTATCATTGTAGAATTCTCAATTTATCAACATTTAATATCGTATAATTTAATTTAGATCATATAACAATATTATACTGAGACATTTAAGTGTATATCGTAACGATTCCTTCGACGTCGTTGGTCTTTCGTAGAAATATAATGTTATAGGATATATATAGCACAATTTAGTTTGAAATTAGAATAATATAATTCATATAACAAAGTAGGTAAATGGTTACAAAATCCACTTTGATAGTCATGGATTCCAGAAAATTATGTCTGAAAATGGCAGTGGTTCGACTAGAGATTAAACCACAAACGATACACATATCAATTTACCAAAACATACAATCGAATGTTGTGAACAATTGTGTACTATTATTTGGTTACGTTTTATATCATAATACTTTTTATGGTATAATACTATTTATAAAATAAAAATTTATTGTAGTAAATTATATATTTATTAATTATCCATATTATGATCCTAATTACTAAACAGAATTTAAATCATATTTTGTGAATATTAGAATTCCATCAACAAAATGTGTGTGTGTGTGTGTGTGTGTGTGTGTGTGTGTGTGTGTGTGTGTGTGTGTGTGTGTGTGTGTGTGTGTGTATTATTATCTTAGTTACCTATGTACAGCTACAATAGAGGGATTCGGTGTTGCTTCTATAAAATATCCTATATTAGTATTGATAAATGATAGTACCTATAAATAATAATATTTATAGTTAAAAAGTACTTAAACATGGTGCACCAGCTTAAAAAAAAAGTCATGTGGGCGAGGATACTACACCCAAATCTCCCAATAGTAATTAGATCACTATTTAAGTAACAAACTTAATACTTTTAACTAGGAAAGGGATATAGAAAATAGTGTTTCACACGCCGTTTATGTTGCTTAGTTTTTAAAGGGGAAGACTGTAGCGCGTGGTAACCTTTCTAGCTAACTTTGACAATTCATGTAAATAAAACTATAAAAAATTAATTTTTTTTCTTACTTAGATGCTGCTGGTTTCCATACAAATTTCACTTTTTTTTTTTTTAATTTGGTGGTGGAAAGATTTCCAAGGAAATTTCAAAACCAAGCTAAAAAGCATACGGCACAGGTAAGCTACATATTTGTAACAAAAAAAATTTCGAAAATGTTATTATTTCAACTAGGTTAAGGGTGGAAAATAATGTTTAAAGTGCAATTTATGTTTTATAGTTTTTGAAAGGGAAAAAGCTTCTTGCGATCTTCTAAACAGGGCTAGACCATTAATGTAAAAGGTGATCTAGAAGTTTCCAAAAAAAAAAATGTTCAAAAATGTTAATTTTTTCGAACTCGTAGTGCTGCCGATACCTGTTGCTGGCTATTTCCATACGAATTGTAGTTGTTTTTGAAATTGCTAGTGGAAAAATGTCCGACCGAATTTCGAAATTAAGATATAAAGTTTCCGGCATCTTTATTGAAAAAAAAAATGTCGACAATTGTTTAACTAGGAAAGGGATGGTTTTTGACATACCGTTTATGTTACTTAAAATTTGAATGCGAAAATTGTCTTATGACCTTTTAAATTGGGCTTAACAATACATGCAAATATAGATATTGAAAAAAAAAGTTAGGAAAATGTTAGTTTTAAGTTAATAGTGTTAATAGTATGTTATATATATTTTTTTTTATTCGAAAAATCAATTTCTTTTAAGGACAAACCAAACAAGCCACATTGTAAATAAAATTGTAAAACAAATAGTTTCCTCTGTTATATTTTTATATTATATTTAACAATCTAGGTTTAAGGCGTATTTGATTCACTAATATATTTTACTTGTATGTGTACGAAATTGCATACAAAGTATAAACTCTATATTTTGGTTTTAATTCATTTTTGTATTGGTTAATAATAAAATATAATAACAAATCGTGGATTTTTTTACACGAGACTTAGCATAGTGAGTTTAATAGTAATTTATTGTTGTACTGATAGACCTTTAACTTATAGACCGGCCCATCCTATACCAAAAGCATTGTTAGTCGAAAGCCGACATAGCGCAGTGATGCATTCCGTTTAGTATAAAATATAATATATAGTGTGAATATTTAGATATATTTTTTGCCGTATCATAGTAACTCAGTAACCGAAAAGCGCCACCTATCTTGACTCAATAGAAACATGAAGTGGGCTGGTATATTAGTTAAAGGTCTATGGTTGTACCATATTAACGATAGGATCATACTTTTATAGTTAAACGCAATGAAACGTATTTTATTTAAAAATTGAGCTTGGTTAGTGGTTACTAAATAAATTATGATCTTTTCGAATTTTAAATCAATTTATAATTCACACAAATATTATATGCAAAACATATTTTTATTTTAAAAACGTATAAAAACATTTTATCTTCGTGTTTAGTTTTGTTTTAAAAATAAAATCACCAAGGACGTTACATCGTTATTAGATTATATAAGACTAAGCGACTGTGTCGTTCTAAGCTCCACTTGTGATTTTGAAAAAATAAAATAGATTTTCTAAAAGTTGACAACATATAATTCTGTTTACCTGAAAGTCGATTATAGTATCCAGCGATGTCCAGCTTATTACGTGTGTTGATCTTTTTATATTATTATTTATTGAATCAGATTATAGCACCACTTTAAATGTGAATTTTGGAAGATTTTAGTGAACAATTATACTATGATGGTATGAATAGGTACCGTGAAAATGTCAAGCATTAAGATATCATTATTTAAGCTCTACGTTGATCAGTCAGCGAGTCAGTCAGGACACGGTCGAATGTCAACTATATTATATTATAGCCATCCTGCCTCTCGTTGCCCACGAGACATGCTTATAATTATGCGACCAAAATATTGTCAGTAAGACAAACCACCTGCGGTGGATTGCAGGTCCCACGATGTGCGCACATAATTATGGCGAATGTTTTAATAACACGTTGTTTATGGTATTGTGGATGTGTAGGTTCCTGGGGTTGTCCCGGTCGAAAAAGTAGCGGTAGAAATACCATTTTAACTGATTGGTCACTTTTAAGGTATATTATTGTATTATGCTCATTTACTCATACGTTGTTCTTATCATAATTATTCATGAGATTTTATAGACATCTGATAATTTTATGATCAGAGTAGTTGATTTTAAATAAGTTTATATGGTTTTTTTACTGGAATTTTTTTGTTTCATACTTATAATAATTTATTTTTACAACGGATAATATAATGAAATGGGATAATAAATTTTATAATAATTTATATTTTGTTGTTTAAGTTCAATAAATACGATTTTGCTATAATATTCTAATTGTACATTTTTATGTGCGTTTGCATAAAAATGCATAAAAATATATGTTATTTTTATAATATTTAAATTAACTCAAATTAACCTTTAAAAATAAACAAAATAATTATTTAAAAACGAGTTTTTGAAAAATAAAATAAAATAGAATTTTTTTATTTTATTTTTACTGTGAAATGCTATATTTAAAATAGATTTTGTATCTAAAGTGATATTAAAAAATAATTATTCAGAGATAAGCATTCAATATGTATAATAATACATTCAACTATAATTTGTATGCATTTTCATGTACCTATAATACAATTACTTGAATAACTAATATAATTAACTTCTTATGACTCGAATATGATTAAATCCTTGCCCCTTGGAGCTTATTCACTATTCAGTAGTAACTAGTAACTACCTAGTAAGTAGCAACACAATCCGATAGTCCCATAGTCAATTTTTAAGGAAAAGAGTAGGTAGGTTCCCAAATCCCAATATATAATAGTCTTTTGTAATCGTTTGAAAATGTTTAGTGTAAGAAAACATTTATTAAATACTGATTATCGGTACTGTGTAACGGAATAACTATAGTACTTTGATTACTTCAGTAATTTAATTTAATCTTACTATCGTTTTATCTTAAAATCATATAAATTATGCCTACTAAAGTATAGTTCTCCACAGATTCTTTGATATTTTTAGTAGTTTAATAAATTAATAAACATTATTAAATATTCTATGAATAATAAAATATTTCCACAACATATGACATGCAATTTTCTTTTGTAAAAATTATATTAATTCATAGTAGGTACCTCCGTAAACTAAATTTCTTCAAAGATAAATATTTGAAAAAAAAACGTAGTTTAGGCAATTTAAATGAATTAACTTTATCCAGTTATATCAGTTATATATTATTATAATCTTTAAAAATAAATATTTTTTTTATATTAATTTTAAATTTGCTATAATTTCTTAAAAAAATTACTTTATAACCTTTGATAACAGAATTCTAATAAATAACTTGTTTTTCTTCATCGTAAAATGTACAAATTCCTCCATGCTACAGGTATAAAATAACCAATTTATTATTTTCCACTTGCAAAAAAAATGTAAGAACATTTTTGCAGTACCTATTACACCATAAACGTTGATCAAACTGAATATAACTTGAGACTATAGTAAACAATAATAATTATTATTGGAATTATTCCAAGAACCTATAGGTAAATTAATCTTAATAGGAGAATATGTAAGATTTTGAAATTAAATATCCAAGTTTTTGGATTCTTTAAAAATAATAACACAAATGCTATGTGATTTTAGAATCATTATTTTACTATACATTTCTGATAGTATGCATATATTATTATAGTTTTATTCGTACAGAAGATAGATTTATTGCAAGGTTTTATTCTAACAAAATTATGATTATTATATATTATGTATAAACTATTTACATACGTATAAAAAACAGAATTTACAATTTTTTTTAACGTCGAAAATTAACGTACACGTGCTACCAATTCGGTATTTCAAATATATATATATATATATAAGTATATTTAGCGTCATAGTTAGAGTCTACATAAAGACTCAACCCCATGATAATGGTAATAATATAACTATGTGACTGTTTGCAGAATCCATGGTACGAATTTGGATATCCTGGTACACACGCCAGGTAGATTTGCCTCGGCACATCCAATACCCCAACTTATGATGCCAGCCAAAAAGTAACGACCGTCTCTGCCCTTGACTTGTAATGGACCACCAGAATCGCCCTTAAAAGGTTAATAAATATCGTTTTTTTTATAACTACCATATTATTTAAAAAAAACGTATTTGGATTCTACTCACTTGACAGGAATCACGTCCACCATCGTCGAATCCAGCACACATGAATATGTCTGGTATATATTCATGTCTACCAGCTCTCAAAAACATACTTTTGCACTTGTCATTACTAACAATTGGTACACTCACCTATACAAATAATAACTTTATTACTTTATTTTATATTTACCACCAAGTTTAACCTAAGTAAACATAAGTAAGTACACCTAACAAGTGTTATAGGAATAAGGAAAACTTCATGTAATTATTCATTACTTAAACCATTTATTGTCAGATAAAAATAATCTTATAAACTAAAATTAAAGTTTATATATTGTTAATAACAGTTAACAAAGTAGCTAACAAACTAGTAAGGTACGCAGGAAATTTCTGTAGAGGAATTACGCACACCCTTGCACCAGACTTATTCCATATTTTTATATAGACAGTAATATTTTGTTTTTCGGTTTTTGAGTGGCCCAAGTGAGGTTTTTTGGTGTATGAAGACACTTTTTAATTTTTATAACTTTATGAGAAATTATGTTTTTTTTAAATATTTTATTTTTTATATTAATTTAAATTTTACTCAATGTTTTGATGAGTAAAAATAAAAGGTAAGTATATCGTAAAATTCAAAAATTGTATAACAACGAACAACAGAAAAAAACATGCATAATTTAACTACATAACAATATTACCTCTTGTAACACTGAAGGTAAAGTGCCTCCTTCGCTTAATCGTCCCCATCCAGTTACGGTGGCATTTTCGCCTATAAGTAGGTCGTCTGATCCAGGTAAACATATTGGCACTATGTGAGGTGTGTATTTTACAGGCGCTTCTAATCGCACCATGGCCAAATCATACTCGTATGTGAAAAAATTGTACTTTGGGTGCACAATTTTCCGGGCAACTGCACGTTCCACAAACGGATATGGTTCTTGGTCGGATGAAAAGTCGTACTCACCGACTCTTATACGAATTTGTGATGTCAGCAAGCTGCAATTATTATACACAGTAATTTATTACTTCTATATATTTAAAATTGAATCTCATCGTTTACTCACTCGTCTACACAATGGCCAGCTGTTGCTATCCAGTTTTCATTTAATAATGCTCCACCACATCGATGAGTGCTGGAAAATCCAAAGAACGACGTCCTTCGCACAGACACCTACAATTGATAATAAAATGTATTTATTTATTTTAAAAAATACAGGCAGAAGACAAATTATATTGGTGAAGTATGGTTATTTCAAATATTATGAGGTATTATGTATAAATAAAATGTTTGGACGATATTGCTTACCTGCCAAGGCCAACTACCAAACGCAGAGTTTCTCCCGCCAACAATGCGGACTTCGTGCCTTGGGTGCAAAGGAGCCAAACCACAAGCTAAGAAATACAAAATCGTATTAATATTTAATTTCGTACAAAACTATTATATTGATAACGTACGCATTGATTTTTGATTGGTCTCAGCCGATACACCAGGTTTGGCGGTATGTTTTTCCGGCTTACCCGAAACGGTGGTGGACATTGCCACGGGACTAGTTGTTGTACTTATAACTAAAGGTTTATCAGTGGTAGTAGTTGTAGTGGTCAGTGGTGGTGGTTCAGGTGCAGGAGTTGTTGTAGTTGTACTCGTTGTCGTAGGAGGAGTTGGGGTGGTAGTTGTCGTGGTAGTGGTAGGATTAGCGGTAGTGGTCGTCAACATCGTCGACGATGGTATCATATATTGTGGTCTGTGTTGAGGAAGTGGCTTTGGCTTGGTGATGAACGAATGATGGTTACCCATATTCGAACTCCAACTAGGTCTAAAAATGTAAAAATGTATTTTTAAGTCACAATAATTCAGTAAGATAAAGTAACAAAGTTATTTTTAATTATTTATTCTAAGGACATGCATATTATATGGGTATTCCGATTTAAAAATTTTAAAAAAATATATAATATTTGACAAAAACCTAATAGTTTTTTGTAAGCCAATTTGACACAGTTTTCAAGTTCTAGATTCTTGACTAAATTGATAGGTATACACCTTTTGTGTACGATAAATTAAATGAAAAATTTGATATACCTACTCAATCATCATAAGCAAAACCACTGTTCCTTAAATTGGGGGCTTATTAATAATAATAAATAAATAATATCTTTGTGTCTGTGATATATAATAATAATTGGCATAATGCCATAACTTGTTGTAGAATTTGTCGTTATTTTCTATAACGTTCCATCGAATGCATACCTAGATACAAATTCATTTGATTCCACGCAAGTTTCAAACTTCTAATTTTTAATTTAGTTATTTTTTTTATTTATAATTTGTTTTTATATTTTCAGTGTTTTATATTATGTATCTTGTATGCTCATAAACTAATTTTTAAGCTTTTTTCTTTGGTAAAGTCGATGTATTTTGTTGATACCGGTAGATGATGTTCTTATACAACTAAAACGAAGATTGTAGAAATCGTATTTTTCACCGCTTTGTCTAAAGTTATTGATTTTTAGACCGAATTTAAGCATTCAATAACTTTTTAGTTTCGAGCCATTTTATCCGCTGGTTCTAGCGTATATCAATCATGACAATATTAGTATGACATAATGAATCACTCGGTCGGAGAGTGAGCTTATCAATTATAGGCCCCGTGCGAGAAGAAATACAACTTAAATATTATTATGCACAAACCTATGCGACCAGACAGAGTCCACTTTGTTGTCATTGTCGTCCACTTCCTGGACGGTCGGCCGACCGGCGGTGGACGTCGGCTGAGGCGTTGGTGTCGTCGTCGTAGTCGTCGGCGCGTACGGCTGGGCCGCGGGCCTGGACAAAAAGTTGGGCCGGCTATTCGAAATGAAGTTGGTGGACGGTACTCGGTTGACGTGCGCCGACTGCGGCTGCATGTTCGGCGTCTGCTGCGTGGCCGACGCCGGCTGGTAGTGGTACTTCTTGTCCACCGACGACGTGCTGGCGCCGTCCGCGTCCCCGCCGTTGGGCCGGGTCATCACCTGGGACGGCCGGTGCGGCCTGTGGTGCGGCCGCTGTGGCCGCTGCGACACGCCGTTGCCGCCCGGCTGCGTGAACAGCACCGCCGGCTCCGACGAGTCTGGCAACATAGCCAGCTGCGCCGTGGTCAGATTGTGCGCGCAGCAGCTACCGAACATGAACGTGTCCACGCACATGCCGATGTGCCGGCCGTCGGTGTTGATGCACTCGTACACGAACATGCATGTCCCCTCCAGGCTGTTCACCGAGCATGGTTTCTTGTTGATCTTGTAATCTGCGAGTGCAACGTTCGTAAATTATTGTTATTGTTATGTTATTTATTAATTGTTGTGCCGTCGGTGGCGGAGACTGTGGTGGTAGGACCTAGGACTTATTGGATTTTTAAAAGTCGTTGGCGGTGCGTGTATGGTACGGGACTCGACGGACGAAAAGGTTTTCAGAAAAACCGTTGCGCTTAGGTTTGAAGATGATTTTTTTTATAAATATTTCTATTCGAATGGAAAAAAAGTATTGACTATCGATACGAAAATCACTCATTAAAAAATATTTTAGAAAAGGGCTCATTTTGTTTTGCGTTTTACCTACTTGCTGATTGAAGGTTTTAAACTCGATCGTGTTATAATCATTCGTTCAACACGAAACGTTTAAAGCCGTCAATGAATCGATATAATCGTGTCGACAAATGTAATTTGTTTTGGTCAAAATTATATATACGTGTACAATAAACGTAGAAATGTTTAATCATGGTCGAACTAAATCCAATTTGAAAATATATAATTCTAGTTCCAATACGGTTGATAGATATTCAATGTTTCAATAATTCAAGCATTTTATAACTTTTGTATTAAACTATGTTTTATGTAATAAATTATTCTCTTTTCTTCCGAGTAAAATGTAATTAAAAAGGTAATGCCAATAGTATACAAATGATTGATTAATAATTAATGAAATGCTTTTTCACTTATAGCCATCCTGGAGTTTGGATTTATTGTGTCGTGATATATTTAAATGCAAATTATAAACAAGTTCCGGTGTACATTGTTTCTTCTTTTATTATTTTCTTTGTAATAATTGTAAGTCTCTCTGGTCCAGGTCAAACACCATTAGAGGAACTACAGCCTAAAGAATTTGATAGGGTTACATAGAGTATTATATAATTTATTATTTTAGTTGGTTAAATTCACCACTAGTGGAAAGTTATTTGAATATAACCACTATTATATTATTATTTATTATTACTATCATAAAAAAAAATCAAAATATCTTTTTATTATTCCTGTTTAACAGAAAAATATCAAAAATGTCTTATGGTTTTTTGTGTTTTTTTAATCTTGTGTGATAAAAATCAGCTCATAATTTTGATTTATAATTTGATTTAGTTTTTTTTATTCAGTAGGGAAATTATTACCTACCTAATTACTTGTTGAATACATTAGTGTTTTCTTGAATATATTCTAATTATATTGTTATTTATGTAATGGTAACTTTATTATACTTGGGTATTTTACTTAGAAATTTATGCATTCAATAATGCATACATTTGTATAAATAATTATTTATATTAATGAATCATTCAGTATTAATTTTTTATTCAGCTGTTTTATTTGTATGATGTTTTCATCGAACATTGAATTTTTTAAACATTCTTCAACTACGTTTGAACTTACTGTTAAGCGCTTTGTGATGATCATGGCCTTGAGACGATTCGAATATGGCGGTCAGTAGAGACATGACGATCCATGAGGTCGCTATTCTCATGCTGGCACAGACCTATATAATAATTCAAAGTGCATTAGTACATTTAGAAACTTATTATTAAGAAATAGGTATATTACAATAAGACAACTCGCATAATAATAAAAACTTGGTCGAAGGCTTTATACCAAAGATTTGCTATTCATTTTTACTATAATCGATTTATTTCCAACACAATATTTATTAAAAAAGTTGTTTATTTTAATATTATTCATCAATGAATAATTATTGGCATTTTTTTTCATTTTATATGCCGACTTTGTTTCTATTAACACCGAACAAATGCAATTAACCATTATCATTGTTTGGGTTTTTTTTTTTTTATATTCAATTAACCTGTATTATAAGCATGAGCAAGAGAGGTGAGAGAGGTACCTAAATCGAAAATGTTAAAAGTACGCTCGATTAAACAATGGCCGTCAAAATATGTGTGTAAATTTTTATCGCGGTCACTCTACTCATTTTCACCTATTAATAGACTCGTTCTAACGCATCATTAACACCAACAGTATTGTAGTAAACGTCGTTTTCGCTTTTAGCAAACCCAGTAACCGATTAGGTGAGTGGAACATACAACGTTTGGTCCTCACCCCCTCGGCTTCCAATATTATCAATAACAATTACGATCACCACCCTTTAGTACCACAAACCTGTTGTACCTACATTGATTCTTCGCAGTCGGCTGATAACAGCAGCACAGCTAGTCTGTATGTCTACAGTAACTGTACAGAAGTCAGTAGAACTATTCTACTAGACCCATCGCAGATATATTATGATTATAACACTAGCCATTTTATACAGTATAGATATACGATTCTCCATAGTATTCAATTACATCACTTTCAACAGTCTATGAAATAATAAAATACAATATACAAGTCTATATTGCCATGTACCCATACAATCGCTATTCGGACAATGACCTCACAAAAATATTTTCAAGTTTCAATGCTAAATGTCATAATACCCATAATATGGTATCTATATAATAATAAAAATAATTTAACAGACGAATATTTAGTTGGCCCATTTTATATAAAATAAAAAAAAAAATTTTAAAATAGCACTTTGGACTTATTGAAAATACATAAATATAATATTATAATGTTTTGTATCGGAATTCAACAAAATATGTTTGATCAGACTTAAAATACCTAATATATTATATTGTATCGTAAGAATAATAATTATTCTCTTCTGTGATATTATAATACTTAATTATTGATAATTGATGTTTTCAACCAAATTTTAAAACAAAACTATTAATTTGTAAGTAGAAATAACAATCTGAATTAGATGATAATTATATTGAACTCATGTATTCAACACACATGAATTATTAAAATTTCAAATTTATTTTTTTGTTTATACTCATTTTCCATTGTAGATACTGTTCGATGTTTCAGTAACATAAATGAAATCATTAATTTAATTTTGATTGTTTATAAATACATTTTTAGGGACCTCTTGGCTTATTTTCGTATTTCTAAATTTGTATAACCATCTGCCATCTGTTATTTGTTAGGTTACCAAAACCAAAACCATAAACTATACCTATTAATTTGACTTTACCTCAATGTTTCACAATTATTGTAAGTTATACTTAGTACATTTTGTTCTAGAAAATATATTATATTTGATTTTAATTTGCGTTCCTATTGCAATTCAATTTTATATACATAGAAAATATTATTATCATGTTTTGCTTCAATATTTTTATTTTTATTCTTTACCGAGGTTTATTGAATAATATAATACAAATTACTTTGGATTTTTATTACCGATAGTCACTGTTCATGTAACGGGTAATCTAAGCAAATTGTAAGTAAGCCTACGTGGTAATAATAACTAGTTTCGAGCCTTATCCCCCCGCTGTTGACCAGATGAAATCAGACCTGGTTATACTCTCTAGCTGAATATTCTTCTTCTATGTAAAAAGAAAGCATCTATGATATTAGAAGAAACAAAATGATTATCCCATATCACATTTTGCGGTTTTGCGTATAACACGCGTGAGTATAATATAATATATAGGTACTATACATATACCACCGCCTGCATTTCTTTTGATTCTCTTGGTCAAGCTATGTTTAGCTTTTGACCTCCAATTTCATGTTTTATATGTTATTCACTGTTATCCGTTGTCTTTTTATAAGTTGTCATAGAATTTAAATTAGAAATATTATTCAAAATTGTTTATCGGAACTATTTTTAATTATTTTTGTTACTTGTAAAATAAATGATCTAAAATCGAAATTTAGTTCAACAAAATACTGAAATATTTAGTATTATAAAAATTGAGAAAATTGCTAAAATATTACACATCATACTTATTAAATTGTAATACTATATAAAAATAATTTGTCATGAAATGAATTGGAAAATTGAACTGTCGGTACGTAAAAATGTTTAATGGTTTTCGTTTTCTACAATAAAATATGTATATAAAAAAAAAATAAATAAATAAATAATGATAATAATATTCGAAACTATATAAACAAAAATTACAGTTAAATTCAGAATTTTATAAATTAAAAAAAATGTCAATTATTGGTACCTATCTAAAAGTTTGACATAGCCGACGTGGGAATATAATACATTAACGAACAATTGGGAATCCCGTTTCAAACGTACCTATTTAAAACTACATTTCTTCGTGGCTTTTGTATTTGAAGTTGTTTTAACGACGTAACACTTATCCAAATAAAAATTTTAAACGAATACAATGTAACATTGTCCAATCAGATCGGTATCTCTTATGGAACTACTATATATGCACACGGCAGATTACAATCGTCTCATATACATTAGAAAGCGATGATATTCTGTCTTACGATTTGTCGTCGTAATTACCCTATAACCAAACACGTGTTTACATTATGTTCGACAAAAACATAATCTGAACCACATTTTGCTGAGTCGACTGATTGCTTACCAAACATTGAAAAAAAATAATATGAATGAATATTATAGTGTTTACTTTCAAGGTATGATGATTCGACCTGCTACAAGTTCCGATTTAAACAGACAGGAAAAAAATTATAGCGTTATTGGACTTTTTTCTGCCACAACTGACTTATTAGTGTCCTTTTTTGCACCTTCTATACACCCAGTCATATTATTTGAGAACTCGGCCCATTTTGGTAGCAGAAACAACCTATCAATAACGCATTGATGATGATCGACAGCAATGTGATCTATAAGGTTACAAAGTGAAAGTATACCATGTACGTGACGGGTCTCTATCGTAGTAATTGTGTATTTACACTGTACATTATAAAGAGAATAAAACTGCATGATCATTGGATGCCCCCTTGGACTGTACATTTTGGATGCAAAAACTACCACGAAAACATGACAGGTCATCTGTGATGAGAATTTCATAGAAATCAATGGATTGGTTATATCAACGGGAGTCTTTATTATTATTGTTAAGCTTTCTTCTTTTTCCTTTTACTTTTCTGGTGGATCTATTTTTTCATATACCTATAGAAAACCTACAAAGCTTTAAAAAATAATTGTATTGTCTTGCCTCAAGTCACTATACAAATGACGGTTGAAATACCATTTTTATGAATAACATTCTAATTAACTTTTATATTAAAACATTTGTACATGCTATGCTAGGGTTGAGCAAATTAAAGTTACAGTAGTGAATTTTTAGGATTTACCTTATGTTTTAATCGACTTTGAAGTTATTGAAATAATTTTTCTAATAAATGTATACCTATTTTGTTAAAAAATAATTTTTTTAATATAGAGAAATCCATTTACCACAGAAAAAAGTTTTTATCCTACAATAAATTTCAATGATTAAATCAGTTAGAATTTTGTACTAAATAGTAAATACTGCATATTACACAATATAACATTTATTATAAACCCTATGTAAACAAGTAAAATTGCTATGTCTGCTGCTATTAAAATAAAATAATATTTGTTTTGATAGAATAGATGGTAAAGTAGTAATGTAGTAAGGTAAAGTTAGTGGTTCTTCTACACCAAACCTAAGGGCATGGTGTAGGGAGGATTGATTTTTTTTTATATAGAGAAGAAGCTTTAATTTATAGTTAATGTTTTAGTGAGAAAAAATGCAGGTAAGGAAAATACGACTGTGATCACAAACTTTTAAGACGTATCAACAAAAAATAAAGTTTAATGTAAAATTAGGGGAATACTGAATAATTAAGACCTTGTTTATATGCGCGCGTGTGCGTGTGCTAACATTTTTTATTATTTTAAAATTATGTGTTTTTAGTTTCCTAAACATACCGTTTAAGAATCAGATGGTTTAAATTTATAATGAACTATATAATAAATGTTATAGTAATCAGTAGACCTACCTACATATTTTTTTAAAAGTTTAAAATAGTAACTATACTTACTTATTAAAAAAAATCGTACAGTGTATAACTTTAGATCAAATTAAAATAAATAAAATAATTTCAACAAGTTAATTTTAAGCTTTAAGTAATCAGATTAAAGTATTTCTTTAGACTACTGAAGGAAAATAATAAATAAAAGAAATATTTTTTTTGTAAGACTGCTTTTATTTTTTTTTTGCATAGTGCAGCTACATTTGTTAAAATTTAATTCTTTATAACTATTATTCAGTATATATTTTATAGGAAAACTATAAAATTAATTTTAATTGCTTTTTCATGTATTATATTACTTGAGTATTTGGATTAAAAATAATTATAATGGTTTTAAGGGGTATAGGTATATTTTGTACCACAAGATATCCTCGTTGTAAGCACCTGCTACACATTGTTTAAAGTTATAGCGGTAGATGGTAAAGAGAGGTTATCGTTAGTGACTGTTGTCTTAAAATCATGCTCAAGATTTACATGACATCCATTCAATCGGATTAATAAATACATTTACTACTAAATAGACAACATATTGAATAAACATAATAATATATACACCTAATTACTTACTAATATAAACGTACGTATTAGATTAGGTAGTAATTATTTTATAAGGCACTTTAAAATTCA